TAAGAATCATTTTATCGAATTGGCTGGGGGTTGAGTATTATCATACTAGTATTTTACTATTAATAGTGAATATTGTTTTTTTTTTTTTTTTAAATTTTTTTTTTTTTAATATTTTTTTTTTTTTAAAAAATTTTTTTGCCCCCCCCCCCCCCCCCCCCCCCCCCGAAAAAAAAACGCTTTTGAGGAAGTCACTATGGTCGGCCTGTGTAATTAGGGACACCTGTCCTCACGTGCCATTTCAGGTGGAGACACGTGCCGCGAAGACACCTGTCACTGTGTATTTTTTGTATATTCTATGTGAATTGAGACGGTTTTGTACCTAAAGGGAACAATGGGCTGCTGTCGAGCATGTACACACACAGTCTCCGACCGAAAATTCTTTTAAATTAAGATGATGATTCGTGTTTCTTTTATCATTTAAAAAATTGTATATTCCATAAATAAAGTTATACAAGAGAACATATTTATAAAACCTACATTTAAGAAGTTCAATGAAAGAACAAACTATTTAGAATTTTTATTTCAATTTTCATTACTGATTTGAAATAAAACTATCCTCTTTAGAAATTAAATAATTTTCTATAGATATTGAATAGATCTTAATTCTCGTCGTGTATAATTATATTAAATCAGAATGACGTTAATAGATCAATGTGAAATCAAAACTGTTTTGAACATATTTTATTGTCAAATGGATTGGGTTTTGCAACTTGTGTGCAAAAAATACATTAAAATATTGATTATAATATTTTCAAGTGATGCAATTAAATTACAAATCAATTTAAAATACACAGTAATACAAAGACATTTATTAAATGATAAATGTTAATATAAATTATAATTCATCACATAACAACAAAAAAATAATGATTTTTCTTTCCTGTTTATAATATTGTTATATTCATAATTAAGTAAACAGTTGTGTCAGTATGTTTGTGTAGCGTTTACCAAAAGAAAAATATGTTGGCGGATTGATGATTTTTGTAGCTCTTAAGTTTTTACGGAAGGAATTAATTGAGATGGCTTCCTTGTATCTAATTTCAATTTCCTTGCATGGCACAAATGACAACATCTTGGAATAATGAACTGTTCTTTAGGGTATTGTATTTTGATAATTTTCATGCTTGTTTGGTACAATATTATTTAAATATTACAGTCCCTATATTTAACAAACATTTTTAAAATTTTCAGCAGTTTCTAAATAAAGTTTTTTCAAAAATAGGAAGTCCACAAGGCCATTGCTCTAGAGCAATCCCATACAAAGTCTCGAGCATTGGTCTAATATTTTGCATGATTTTGTTTTCAATATATGCAGACCAGCTGAGATTCTGTGACAATAATAAACCCAATGGCTCCTTTAAAAAATAAGTAATAGAAATGGCCTTTGTGTTAGACTACCTTTGTTTTAGATCTAAATTTTAAGCCAAGATGATTAATTGTATAATTCAATCTAAAATATTGTATGAACATTGTTGAAAAGTGAATTATCATCAGCAAACAATCTACACATGGACATCATATTTTCAGCAACATCATTTACATATATCAGAAATAAAATTTTTCAAGTTTTGAAGAGTTTTTGACCTATGATTTCATAACTAGAAAACCACTGGATATAAGGATAAACCATAAGTTTGTCATTTACTTACTCTGTCAAATGCTTTAGACAAATCACAAAAAACCATACAACATACTTTTCCTTCATCAATATTTTGTACAATACTATGATATGTTTCTAGTAATTGATACACAGTAGAATGTCCGGGTAAAAACTTTGATATCGATAAAACAGATTATTTTTGAAAATAATTGTACACATGTTTAAAAATAATTCTTTCCATAATTTTACTAACATGATAACAGCGACACAGGTCTATTTGAAACCAAAGAGGGATCATCCTTTTTAAAAAAAAAAAAGCTATTTTCCAGAAAGATGGAAATATTCTATCTGACAGGGACCTGTTGTATAACATAGTGAGTGGTTTAACAACAGACTGAAGGGTAGATTTTAACATTTTATGACTTATACAGTCGGGACCTATAGCTTTGTTCACGGGAAGTATTGAAATAATGTCTGATACTTCATTTCTTCAATTGATATTTTACAAAATGTGCTACTACATAGATTGTAAGTGTTTCGTTTGAATCATCAATAGTAGAAATAGATGAAAAATAAGAATTTAAGGCTTCATATTTTATATAGTCAGATAAGCCAACTTTTTACCACCTTTATCATTATATATTTCAATAGGTGGTATCTCGTTAGATAGTTTAATGTTGAAAATCCTTCATCAACAATAAAGTTTATTATTATTTTTACTTGAGAAATACATTGGTAATAATTAGCCATAGCATGTTTCTTCATATTGTTAACCGAATTCCGTACCTTTCTATATTCAGACCGATCAGATTCTCTTTTAGTTTTATGTGCTTTTTTATGAAGCCTGTCTCTAGTTCTAATTGTTTTCCTTAATAAAGAATCGAACCATGGTTTGTCACGAGGACGGATTGTTATTGTTTGTTCGGTACGCATTCACGAACACAAGTGAGAAATTCAGATGTGAAATTTTCAGTGGCCAAATCTATGGTATCAGCTTCATTGATGATTTTATCCCAATTACAGTTTTCTATCAAAGTGTTTACGACATTTTTATAGGCCCACACTTTTCTTTTGTAAGAGCGAAGTTTATATTATAAAATAGCTCTATGATCACTTATATGATTCCATTACTAATGTGCCCGATTCGCATACTTGAATATCAACAGAAGAAAAAATTGGGTCAAGCAGCGTGCTCGACGTGTTGTAGTTCTTGTAGGTTTGGATATTGTTAACTAAATTGTGTGTTGCGATTATTTCACGGATGATATGTGTTTGTGGAGCTGTAAAGAGGTCAACATTAATGTCACCAACTATTACTATCTTATTGGATTTTTCACCAACTTTATCAATACTCCATGAAAATTTGGTACAAAAACTGCCATCAGAGTTTGGGGGACGATATACACAGCATAAGAAATAATTAAAGGTATGATTATCAATTTAACATATGCATTTACGTTCGAATTCATGTTAAAATGATGTAAATCATGACACCACCCCCGTAACAATTTCTATTTTTTACAAAACCCATCTAAATGGCATCATTATGTACAGTATTCCAGATGGGTTTCTGTAAAACATAAAATGTATCATGTAACAAAAGAGTTTAAATGATCGATTTTGTGAAAAGTATATTGAGGTGTAAAATGTCAAGGACATGTTCAATGGTAATTTCGATATCGCCACATGCTAACAGAACAAATGTAAACAATTGAAAATAGAAATTGATATACACAGAATTATGTGTAATACATTTCATGCATTGACTAAGTAGTTTTAAAATATTTTTGAGTAATTGTAACAAATATGCGCATGGAGACACAGACCACAAACATTTTTTAGAAGTTCCTTTACCTGATAAATAGAATAAACCGACTGCAGCTCGATATTCTTCTAGCGAGTTACCCATTGTCTATCTTTTGAAAAAAAATTGTATGGAAGTATAAGACCGCAGTCAGTAGCTGCCCAAATTTTATTACATTATTCACTTGACATATGTATACAAAGTTTTGACTTAAGTATTGAACACATAATGTAATAAAATAGTTTCTAACAAAAAGATGAGTGAAATATAAACACAATGTAAACAATAATATAATTCATCACATAAAACGTGTTTTTTTTTTTCCTTTTTTGTTTATTAAATATGTACGCAGATCCCCGTGTAGTAAAAAATGAAATTACAATAAACGCAATCACACTATATTTAACAAACTTTAAAATTTTAGCCATTTTTTTTCTCCAAAGGCCATTGCTCAAGATAAAGAAAAGTCTATAATATTTTGCATGATTTTGTTTTCCTTAAGAACAATGGCTTTAAAAAAATGCTAAGGCAATCTATTAAAAGAAAATTGTATAATTAATTCATTGTATAATTGTCACGATTGTATTTTTGTGCAGTTTTTGTGATTTCATTAAAGGTATGAAGTTTGTCAATACTTCAACAAACATTTCTTTATCTATGTTGTACACTACTTTATTTTTATTGATATGCTACTCAATAAACTCGATAAAGGCCTGTAGGAAAGTAATTTCCGTTAGAGTTATAAACTAACCGGGATTTTATTTTTATTAGCATACCTTACCAGATTTCTTAACGAAAAAAAAAAACATTAAAGAAATACAGGGCGGGACCAGCTAAAGCTGTATGCATATAAGTACAGCCCTGCACATCAACGAGTATAGATGACTTTCGACATAATCTTTCCCATGACTTCACTTATACCAATCACGACTAAAATACTGAATTAAAATACTGTTATATTTTCCTGCCTTTGATAAGATGTTAGTTTTCCACCTAGAGATATAACTCTCCTAAGAAAAAGGTTTTCAACATTCTGATTCATTCAACAATTTTACGTGTTAAAATGATGTGGGCAATTTTTTTAAGCTAAAGGCCAAGTTGAGGTGTCAAGCAAGAAACATTTTTTTCTGCTTTTTCTAAATATACTAGGCCTACACATCATATCGGAAAAAATATTTAGGAGCCCCTCTTTTTATTCCATGAAAAGGGAAGAACTTAATTAAATTCTAAAAGAAGATCACATTATCACACTTAATCATAGTGAATGTAAACAGTTTATATTTCCCATCCTGCATCGCTCTGTAGGCGCTTTATTTCATTGGTCAATTTCCCGAGGCGCCATTTTTGGAGGATCGAGAAGGACGAAGAAGAAGGTGTAAGCAGCTGGTAAATGTGAAAAGTTAAGATGATTTCACCACCCAGTGTCTTTAAGACTGTGATAAATGCAATGGCCAACAATGAAGGATTAGTGTACGTATATTTTTGTTAACTTTTTAGGGTAAATAGTTGTAATATTTGGCAACAACAAATCTTCACTATCGGAGGCAACTTTTGTTATGACGCCATTTTGAAAAGTTGGATACCTAAGTTTTAAATTGTTAAGTGTATATATTGCAGAGAGAAAGAGAGAGAGAAAAAAAATTGAGACAGTGATATAGCATAACTTAGATTATGGAGGCCCCAAAGGCACCGTGCATGTGCATGCTGTATGTTGTAAAATGGCAACGTTTCGCCTTTTATCATGTTTATTAAAATGTATGCTCCATATGTATGTTCTCTCTCTATATATAAATGAATCCTTTTCGGAATTAAAAAAAAAATATTTTTACCCCCGCTCAAATTATCCGGATGATGATAGTTACACCGAGCATGGTTTCGTAGTTAAATTCATACTGTAGAACATCCGGTTTGAATCCATGTGTTTTCTGACTTTTCGGATAGCCAACTCATGTTTTTTTGGAACTTACGACTTATGGAAAGGTATAAAGTAATTATTTTTGGTTCAAAACTTTGATAAAAGCATCGATATTTTTACAAAAAGTGTCTTCAATCTCAGCTTATCCGATTATTCATGAAGGATATCCTCATCAGAACAGTTGGAATAGATCAGGTCCAGGAAAATCACTATATTTAGCTATATAGCTTTATTTACCTATATAGCTTTATTTACCTATATAATATAGCTTTATTTAGCTATTTTAAAATAAGTTTCTGTTTTATGAAAAGCAGACAAAAAGTCGCATGTAAATTATGGCTGATATATTTTTTAAAAGGATTGATAAAACAACCTAGGGCATTGATAGTAAAAACATTGCCTCTTATAAACACTTTTTAACCAAAAAATGTATCTCTATTGTTTGGATAGCTGGAAGTGTGGTGAGGCATGACTAAGTGTGATTGCCTTGCATTGTGGTCAATTATTACCAATCAATTATCTTGTTGACCAAAACTGCTTTTCTTTGTTAAAGTAGCTGCTTACTCACAGATTAACTGTTATACATAGCCCCAAAACTTTTAGATCTTTGATTTCAATTGAACAAAAGGAGAAACATTTTTATAAGTGGGTTTTTGGTGAATTGTTTTCAGTCCATTTCAAAGTTGAAAACTAATACTGCCTCAATATGCGACTTTTTGTCTTATAGCTATATTTTATAGGTAAATAAAGCTATATAGGTAGATTTACCTATATAGCTAAATATAGTGATTTTCCTGGACCTGTAGATTGTAGCGAATAGCATAACCCTTAATCATATGCATGACAATGATATGGAGGAAAAATATACATAAAAAAGTGAATGTAGGTGAAAGCCTGTCCACTTTTCTGAAGAGATTATGTTTGTTTTATTGTTTATTGAAATAGTTTACTGCTCAAAAGATTTTTTTTTGTAATGTCTAACCTGTTGAGATGAAGATGTAAAAAAAGAAAAGCCTAATAGTGAATTAATATTGATAGTATGTCAAGAAATGCAAATGAATCATCAGCTTGAATTATCAGTTTTTTCACAATTATTGACCTGAGTAGGTCAATGTATAGCGAATAATACATACTCTTTTCCATATTACATCCTAGCCCGAGACACCAATATCAGCCAGAGGGACAGAGGCCCTAGGGCTGATATTGGTCAAAGGTATGATACAGGATGTGATGTGGGAAAGGGTATGTTTCATTATGTTTATTACAAACTTGGTAATAAAATACAGAACACTTCAAGTTGAGAAGATCAAGAAAATAAGTAAATAATCATGCACAATAAAACTACTTACATACATGTACACGGTATTGTCTTACTGAACAGATTTAGCTGTCATTAGGTCAAAATTGCAAATAATAACATGCTTGTTATATCGTGTATATACAGGTAACTCTTGATGGCTTGAACTTCGATTTCTCGGAAGTTCTTGATCGCTTGAAGTGAGTCTCCGGTCCCGATTTTTTTACTATATAACTAAGCAGATTTGCTCTTGATTTCTCGAACTCCTGATCTCTCGAAACCCTTGATCCCTCGAAGTCAAAATGCAGTCCCGCTGTGCTGTGAATTTTACCCTTGATACCTCGAAGTGGCTGTGTGTATACCAAGTTATAATGTTCAAACTTTTGCCATAACTGTATATTTGTGTGTCTGTCTGAGTGTCTGTTGTCAACTTAAACCTTCACCATAACTTTAGAACTATATGAGATAGTGGCTTCATATTTAGTATGTATACTCCACTAATGAAGTGCTTTCAAATGGCAACAAGGACAATGATTATCATGATTATGTGATCTTGACTGTGACCTGTATGCTAAAAAAAATTGCATTTTCGAACTTTGTTGCTGTGTTTCACAAGCGCATCTTGTTTTTAGCTCTACTTGTCAGAGACCAGAAGAGCTTATGCGATAGTAATGCGTCCGTCCGTCTGTCTGTCTGTCCGTCTATCTGCAAACACTACTCCTCCTTAAATTTTAGTCTGATTTCAATATAACTTGGCACACAAGTAGACTATACTAAGATACATAATTCTGTGCATCAGTTTTTGATAAGTACAAACCAGTAGAGCTACAGTCTCGACAGAGACTTCTTGTTATTTTTTCTTCCATCCCGGTTGTTGCTAATGCTATTACATAATTAGTTTGAATTAGAATGCAATAGTACCTGGACATAATTTATCATTTCAGAGAGAAGAAAACTGTGTGACTTTAAAAGAAAACCAGTGAGATAAAATCATAGAAAATGTATGATGATTCAGGATGTGGTCATTTGGTAAGTGGTAATTCATTCATGATTAGTATGTATATGACAATTGCCTGAAAAAAAAGATTCTAAATTTTATTTAAATACTGAACTGTGGTATATCAGCTGTGAGCTACAAGAAGTTGTATGTAAAAGCTAGGGCTGAAACAATTTGCCCCCTCCATGTTATGTGTGTATTGCTATGATTGACATACAATCAGTTCTCTAATACATACACTTCAATAAAACTTTGTCGTCTTGAACCTGAATTGAACAGGAAAAAACTCTGAGATCTCTCCAAAAATTTGAATGAAAAAAAGGAAATGCTTATTAACTGATTTCTTGCTGGTCAGTATTTTGATTACTTAAAGGAAGCTCTAAAAACTGCACACTAAAGATTTCTACTTTAATCACAGGGGCATCTTACCCACTCTGTTCTCTACTTCACATATAAAAATACACAAGGGAAGAATCGAAAGTAGCACACGATTTTTAAAATCAACTTACTTGAGAAAAGTTACACAAATCCTGAAATGAACTAGCACAAATGATGTCCTAGTACTTATCCAGGCTAAAATATTCCAAATATATCTATCGAAAATAGCTTTTATCTAACGAAAATCCCTGCTTTCTGCACAATGTGAATCTCTTCGCCCAAGAAAAGATAACTCACTCGGATGACAATAGGGTAGTACCCAAGGCCCTCCGAGTGCAATCTGAAGGCCTCGGCTACTACCCTATTGTCATCCGAGTGAGTTATCTTTTCTTGGGCGAAGAGATTTTTTTCTCTTCAAGGAATAATTTCTGCAAGTCACTAAGTTTTTAGAGTTTCTTTTATTTTATAGATATTCAATGAAATTATTTGAAGTATTAAATTTTGGTAAATTTTATGATACTAAAAGGTTATATGGATGAAAAAACTACATGCGTGTATGACAATAGGGCTTAAATTTTAAATGTCTCTTAATTTTTCAGTGACATTAAAACAGGAATTGTCATCACCAATAGACGAATTTCACATTCCTTAGAGTTTTCTCCAATTGTCGGTATATCGCTCATTTTCCCCACTTTGTCCTTTGTAAGTTACTTGTTAATATTTTCAATCTTCAAAAATATTGGACAATTACGATCTGTATTGCCAGATTATGGGGGCAACATGAAAATCATAATGAATATGTTCATACAAATTTTATTTCTAAGATATTGTCCCTCAAAGTTGATACGGTTAAAGAGGGAAAACAGCGTCTTAAGCCGGTTGACCCCAGATCGACCCTGCGAAGGGGAATAACTTTTGTAAATGTGAAAGTCCTTTATGGTATATCATATAGATCTAAAACTGACTGAATTTTGATCAGCCAATTCATGAACATGATGAATGGATGTAAATAATGTTGGTCAATATATGTAAAAAAAAAAATTAAATTACTTGTTTATATATACATCTGTGGTATCTCTCCCATTGAAGTTTATAAACTTGTTATTTATTTCTTAAATAAACTAAGCATACATGCAATACCGGTATAAAATTACTCATAAGATACATGTATACTTAAACCATGATAAAATCATATGTGTCCAATGCAGCATATGATAAATCATTAACATACAAGTACATGTGTATATATACTGTAATACATATATATTGCATTATTTTTAGGTCCTGTTCTGTGGATGCCCTAAGACAGTGTCTACCCATCACTCCATCTGAAATCACTTGTTCTGTGCATATTTCTCTCTCAAACTTAAACTACAGAGAGCCTGTGGATAGAGGATGAAGAGTGACCTTGGACTAATTTTCTAGGTCAAAGGTCAGTATCAAAATCTACTGTATATCTTTATTTAAAACCGTAGTCCAGAGTATATTTCTCCCCTGGTGTAATCTAGCTTTTGTGCAATGGGGTGGAGGGTCTGCAATGATCTTCAATCAATTTCTAGGTCGAATATCAAAATAAAAAAAAAATCTCTCCCTAATATTTTTGTTATTATAAAGGGTATGTTTTCTCTCAAACTAATCAAACTTAAAGCAGGGTTCTTAGTATGAGATACATGTAGTAATATATTTTCAATGACATAATAAGGCTGAAAACATTATTTATATTATGTTATTTTTTTCACTTATCATAAAGCATTTAATATTAAAGAGATACATTAAATGCTGAAATCATATGTATCATGGTCATGGAAAGTAATTATTGATATTGGTATATTAAAGCTGAACACGACTCGTAAATAGGCTTACGCCATTTTTGATAGCATTATCTACGATACATCAATACTAGGGTATACTCGTCGCATTCGGTACACCTGACTGCTTTATTGTCAAAGATATCGACGTGGAATGGCGACCCGTGTTCGTGCTGGTTATCTTGCATTACCTTTGTTTATATTTTATTGCAGTTACATTTATCTCTGTTGTTTATATACTGCACTGACCTATGTACCTATAATTATAAATTTATTTAGTATCTTACTTTCCTGCATTAGACGAAGTATTACGTTATTATTCTCGCTACCAAGTCCTGTATAGCATACGTCCGTCTTCTCCAGTGTCGACTGATTAAACTGAACAGTCTCTAAATCTTGCCCTATTTATAGGGGTCTGCAGATTAGCGAGTCATCGAGAACTAAAATTGCGGACACAATACTTTTACGAATCGTGTTCAGCTTTAAAGGACATTGACTGATCTTTCAGATTTCTAAGTTATATTCAAGCATTATAATTCTGTCATCATATAATAATTTTTTATGAATATTGCAGATCATAGGTGACGTGAAGAAAACCAGGAAACTGATGTTGAAAGAAGTACTTAATGACCCTTATGAATGGACTTAAATGTGAAAGACTGTTCCATTGTTTATCTAAGATATATGAATTTATTTAATATTTTGATATCATTGAAAAATTCAGTTACAGTTTTTGTACATCAAATGAATTATTAAACATATAAAATGGTAATGCTTTTTTCTTTTACATGTAATAAATTTTTTTGATAGATTTTTAAAAGAATACGCATTATTTCACATTGCTTCCTTTAGAAAAGTTAGGGAATCTTGAAGTTTCCCAGTAATTTCCACCAGGAATGGGACTCCAGATAATTCCACAAAGTTTCCGCCACACAGAAAGTGCTACACAAGTTCCATATAGTTTCCTGAGTCAAGGAAACTTCAGGAATCATAAGGTTTCATGAGCTTCCATGTAGTTTCCCATAAAAGAAAACCTTAAGATTCCATCAAGTTTCCATTCCACGGAAACCACTACGCTCCGATTCCATATGGTTTCCTCAGTCAAGGAAACTTTAGGAATCATGAGGTTTCCCGAGCTTCCATGTAGTTTCCCATATAAGGAAACCTAAAGATTCCATCAAGTTTCCATTCCACGGAAACCACTACGCTCCGATTCCATATGGTTTCCTGAGTCAAGGAAACTTAAGGAATCGTGAGGTTTCCCGAGCTTCCATGTAGTTTCCCGTAACAGGAAACCTAAAGATTCCACCAAGTTTCCATTCCACGGAAACCCCCTACGCTCCGATTCCATCAAGTTTCCTAATTCTGGAAACCAGTGGAATCTTCAGGTTTCCCATTACGGGAAACTACATGGATGTTCGGGAAACTTCAGGTTTACAGAGGTTTCCGTGGTTCGGGATACCTTATGGAATCGGAGCGTAGGGGGTTTCCGTGTCACGGAAACTTGGCGGAATAACCTAGCATCCGCTACGGAAACCACTGGGAAACATGATGTAAACTTGAGGTTTCCATGTGGTTTCCATAAAGTTTCCCATGATGGGAAACCACTTTTTTCACCCAGTGTAAATAGTGCAGCTAGAATCCCACTGTCCTGTTAGTAAAATAATATTATTCCACAAATTTGCACAAAACCTTAGCCTATGATTTGAATTTCTTATATATGCACCGAGATTTTTCGTAAAACCATGATTAACACGGGATTTTAGCAGCTTTTACCAAATTTGTAATAGGGCAAATTTCCATCTGTACCAATCTTATGTTTTGAAATATCTAACTTATTATTGTTCTGATGCATGATTTTTGTCACGTATCTAGCAGACTGTCTTCAAAAGAGAATATAATCGATGAATATGAATTAGCATATCTGTTTAATAAACGTAACTCCATAGGACTTTCACATAATATTCAAGGTATTTCCTTTAAACTTCATTTTACGTATCTTTGTACATGCCGTCTAAACCCAGATCTCTTTACATTACATGATAGATTCCCAAGTTACTAGATGTACCCTTATGACGTCATCGTTGTTAGAGTTTAATCAAAATGACAGATACAGCATAACAAGATAAAATATTTTATTTTTGTGTAAGAGGGCGAAGTATATTTTGCATTGGGTTGGAGATTCAGATTGAAATTTTTATAAAGTGTACAAATTATGAAAAGGAAAATTGTTGTTATGTTTATATTCTTTTTGAATAACCGAAATAACGTTAGTATTGGGTTGTAAGAAATTTTTATAATTTATTTTTAACACTTGAGAATCTGTCCATAGTCCAATCCACACTTTCCAAAAGTTATGTCCATTGGCCGCAATCTTAGGGGATAAATTAAACCCATACAATCCACACAGAAGTCTTTGTAGTTTTCAAATTTGTAACTTTGTCATTTGACTTTTCAAAAACTCTGCCTTTTGTGTACTGATGTACACAATGAAAAAAAATTATAATCACAATGGATTTATCACAGCACGCCAAAGCATAAAGAGCTTTTGGTTGACCCCGCAAAGGGAAACAACTATTGCAAAGTGTGGATTGGACTATTGATTGGTCAATTTACCAAATGTACAGTAGGCCATCTTTTGGCGGTATTTTCACAGTAGATGTTGACCAGTGAAGACGTGTGTCAGTCGTGTTACTAAACGCCTTTTGTCTGATTGATGTGGGTAATGATATGTTTTTCTTGCATTCATATTAAATTAGATACTTATGTCACAAGTGAATGATTATTCTATATTTTTTGAAATATGCAACTGTGTAATTTCCCGATTGAAAGTTGTTTATTACTAGTCAGAAATGATGTCGTGATCTTACCATTTAGTCATTTGTTTATAAGTATGTTTATAGTTTAAAATAACAAATGAACTGATGTTAAATATGATTTTAAAAGATTGTTCAATGCAAAACGTTTTATCATAATAGAGGTACCTTGTTCAGTATATGTATGTATAATTTGTATGAATTGAGTTGTAAGACCTGATTGTATTTATAGTGAACAGTCTTCGTGTGATGACGTCACAGTGATCGGAAGGCATACTGCATTCCTTACTTAGGTTTGTGAACTGTATATATATATTTTTTATTACTAATTATTTATATTGCATATGTATTTCTTGCTAAGATGATATGCTGTATGATAAAGTGTAAGAGAAGTCTGACTGTGGTAAATATTTCTTCATGAAATTGACATTACTTTTTCATTATATTGAAATGTCAGGAGGTTATATTGTAGTTGTTTGCATTTACTTTTTTATGACTATCTTTTTCAATTGCGTATTGTTTATTTTAGAACCACTGTCATCATAACCATTGATAATCAATTGTTGAGCATTGAATCAAGAATAAAAGAACTAAGAAAGTTATTCTCTTGTGTTTTTTTTTGTAAATTTAACCCATAAAAAGCATATTCTTTTTAAGCAGCATGATTTTTCCTAAACTACAGGATGTGTTAAAAATATATGTGTTAAAACCAATATTTGCCAAAAAATTAGAAATACTGTGAAAACTATCCCCGCCCCACTATGATTATAATGACAAAGTCCAATTTATGTCAAATCATATTATTTGATTGAGTGTTCTGCCTAATTTCATAGATGCCATTGTTAAAACGTGTAGAATTCGTTTATTATTTCTTTTTTGTAGATTGGCAAATATTCACAATGGTTTGAATTTCGCTATATTCGCGATTTATCAATTTTCCGTGAAATTAAACCCATCGTGAATGTTATTCTTACTTTTAATAATGTTAAATTGCTTATAGAAAATTTTTAATTAATTTCTTGCAGCGTGAAATTAAAACCATCGCAACTGGTATTTATGAGATATTGTGAAATTTTAACACCGCGGAATTAAAACAATTTACAGTATTTGTGTCATGAGTATTTCGCGGGTATGTTAAGGAAGCATATAAGTCATTTCTCGGGAAATTTAGACTTTTTAAAGAAAATTAAGTTTGATAAATTATCAAAACCGCTGATAAATGTAAATTGTTATTGAATATTGCAAACAAATAAAAGAGTGTCTAACACAAAGACGTACACCACCACCAAGACATCACGTGACTTCTATTAATAGCGAGATTTTCCTTATTAAAAAGCTAACAGAACAACAATACCCGGAGTTTAATACTTTCTTTGAATAGATAATATAGTTGAAAAACATCTATTTTGCCTAAAAAGTGCTGCTAGAATCCCACTGTCCTGTCAATAAAATATTAATTCCACATATTCGCACGAAACCCTACCCCATGTTTTGAATTTTATACATATGAATCGAGATTTTTCGTAAAACAATGTTTATCTCGGGATTCTAGCAGCACTTTCCAAGTTTGTCAGAGGGCAGACTTTCCATCTGTACAAATCTTATGTCTTGAAATATCCAGCTTATTGTTGTTCTATCGCATTATTTTTGTAACGAACGACAGAGGAAAGGCCGACCAGGATACTTATATAGCTTACTGTCTTCGAAAGAAAATATAATCGATTTGAAGAAATTAACATACCTGTATAATTAACTGAACTTCATATGAATTTCACATAATATTCGCGATATTTCTTTTTAAACTCCATTTTACGTATTTTTGTACATGCCGTCTTAGCCAAATTCTCTTTACACAACATGATCAATTCCAAAGTTACTTGATGTACACATATGACGTCATCGGTGGTAGATTTCAATCAAAATGACAGATACAGCGTAACAAAATAAAAGCATTTCACTTTTGTTAATGTTTACACATTTCTATTCGTTTTCTAGAGTTAAATTACATGTCTAAATACCAATATTACGAAAACTTCTATTCTGAAATTGATGTCATCTTGCCTACTATGACGTCATAATGTAGCACTGATTTAGTCAAGGT